CACGCATGTGTGCCGGTCCATCACTCACAAGGCCCGGTTCTCCTCTCCCCACCCCCACTCCGACAACCAGGTTGCCAAGCCACAAAGTTTGAGGACCACTGCATTAGAATACAGTTTCAATTTAGTTTGTAGATCTAATGTTATGTAATGTTGTTTGAGCATTATTTGCGCATTCCACGTTTAGTCATGCCGGCCACATGACCACGGAGACGTCTTTGGACAGCGCTGGCTCTTTGGCTTTGAAACGGAGATGAGCACCGGCCCTTAGAGTCGGGAACAACTAGCACATATGTGGGAGGGGAACCTTTACTTTTATTATGGTTTAGTGGATTGTGTGAAATGGCAAGCTAGATTTAAACAAACTATAGCTTTGCACATAAGTAAACCTGATGTCATATATATATATATATATTTGGGGCAGATTCAGATGAAGAGATCTGCGTGCGTAAGAGAATCAAATGCAGGAGGGTGCTTGCTGACAGCAATAGTGAAGGAGAAGGTGGCAGCCCAGAGAAACTGAAGGTTGCAGCTAGCAATGTGGAAAGCGCCAAGGAAAAGTATAATTGGTTGGGAAACAAAGACAGCGTCCTCTCCTACCATGCTGGGGTGAACAGCGATGTCAGCGACACTGAGAACCTGTTGCCACCACTTCAGCTGGGGATTCCCGAGAGAGAAGACAAGAGCTTGAACAGGAAAGAAATGAAAGAAAAGAGCAGTTCAAGGAAAAGGAAGAGAAAGGAAGAGAAGAAAAGAAAGACTACAAGGCAAGCAAGAAAGAAAGAAAAGTCACAGGAACAAAAGGTAGGATGCGACGTAAGACAGTGGCTGAGGACTGTAGCATCATTTGGTAGCATGCAGCATGATCTAGAGCACACGAGCAGGAGTCTCCGACCTTGACAACTTTAAGCCTGGCAGACTTAAAGCAGAGCTGGCTGGGGAATTCTGGGAATTGAAGTCTGCCAGGCTTAAAGTTGCCAAGCTTGGAGACCCCTGCACTAGACCAAACTGATGCAAACAATTGAACAATTTGTGTTATTACACAAAGAGAAATGCTTTGCCCATGTTCTAAAACAGTGTCTTTTTGTCCTTGGGTGCCGAAAGTGCATGCCCACACCCATAATGCAATGTCCATACGACAACCCCCCTTGCGTCCTGCGCATGTGTGCATGATCCCCTTGCGCTCCCCTGCCCCTCCATGTATGCATGTGCGACCACCACCACCCCCCGCACATGCGTGCACGACACACACACACTGCCTCATTTTGGGCCTCCCAGAAGCCTGTGACCAAAACTGGTGCAGGCGGGGGGAGGGGGGTTGCGGCACTGCACCCCCTGCGCACCCCCTACACATGCTCATGCATCTCCCACATGTGTGCCAAAGACCTGAAAATCAGCTGGCCGGTGGGAGGCGTGCATGTATTTGCGGTGGAGCTGAGCTGGGGCAACATCTCGCAGATGCCGTGTTCGCCATCACGGTTTTAAAATATCCATATTTTATTCTTTGCAATGAGGCTTGGCATCTGATGGGGAGGAGTGGAGTGATGCATTGTTCCAGTGTAACCTTTTATAAAGGTTTGTGGTATTTTCTCTCATGCTGGCCTCCCCAACCTACTGTGTTTCCCTCAAAATAAGACAGGGTCTTGTTTTCTTTTTACCCACTGAAATAAGTGCTTGGCCTTATTTTGGGGGAGTCATTATTTTTTAGGTGCAGGAGGCCCCTTAACCTCGGTCCGCAGATCAGCTGATTCAGAGAGGGCCAGAAGTTTCTGGCGCACTCTTGCCAGCCCTAGCGTCACTGGGCCTGGCGCTCTTTTTGCGGCCGCCACTAAGAGAAGGGGCACGATAGCTAAGATTTGCAGGAGCAGCTTCTGCGAGGCTGTTCCGCGTGGGTGGCAGGTGCATGTGGGGTATATTTTCCCCCTTTCCCACAGGAAATGGCAGAGACCAGCGGCGTATGTCTTCATATATTTTAGGGGAGGGCTTATTTTTGGGGAAACAGGATAGTTTCTAGTAGTGGGTTGGAGTTTCATAACTTTTGAGGACTTTAATTGCACAGATCTGAAAGATGTGAAGCTAGGGGTTGGGACCAGGGGAAACAGGGGTTGCAGTTCAGTCTATGTAGGGCAGGGGGCCAGGTTGGAAAAATCTCATTTATGGAATTGAATCTCTTCACTGGAATTCCTGTGTTTTATTTCCGTTGCTCTTAGAATGGTGAAGACTGTCCTTTTAACGACAGTGGGTGCTTGCTGACGGATAAAGAGCTCTTTGACAATGGCCTGGAGGAAGAGGAGGAGGAAGTGGATGGCTCACCTTTTCAAGTTGGAAATTTGGAAATGTCAATAAATACTGCAGAGAAAGTGAAAACAAAAAAACGGAAGGTGGGTTGCATCAAGATTATTATTATTGTTGTTCATCATTCAGTCAGATGTCTAGAGTGGATTTGGTATTTTTATCCACCGGAGTCCTTCTCAAGGATCTGATTATTATGATTATTATTGTCTCTTTTATTCATTAAACATGAAACTCAGCCAACTGAACATTTAAAAATGTGTCATAAATACCATTGACTGGTGCTAATGGTTGATACGGGTTGCTGCCAGCGTCCTAAATATCAACCAAGAACGTTCTTAAAATATACAATGTTCCGAGTAGCGCAGTTTTTTGCAGTTCCGCTCGTATTATTGCAGGAAGCTGCAATTTGTTGATGAGTTTTGTAAAATTCTTGGCCATGGTACCAAGTACCCCGATGACAATGGGTATCACTGTTACATGTTTCATCCATAATCGGGTGGTTTCGATGGCCAGGTTGTGGTATTCTGTGATTTTTTTTTCCAGTTTTTTTTTTTTTCAACTCTGGCATCTCCTGGTACAGCGATATCAATAAACTGTACGTTTTGGTTTTTGGACAACTATGATATCTGGCATGTTGTGTTCCAAATGACGAACCGTCTGTGGTTGTGGTTGTTGTTGTCGGGCTGTAGGACCTGTTTAGCGGGGAAAAATCCCAGAATCCCTAACCAGTAGCAATTTGACTATGTTGGAGTAATTTTTATTTTTTATCCTTCGTCTCCCCTAGAATCCCATCAAGTCTCTCAAATATGAGATGAAAATTAACATTTCCTTTTTGGTTCCAAACAGCTGTTTTTAGAGAGTGAGGATTACCAACAATTGACGGATGAAAGTGAGGGGCTGCTTCTAAAAGAATCTAGGAAAAGGGTAAGTACTTCCCCCACCCCATATTGACATACTTTATTTTCCTCCCACTTTTTGTTTAACTTAAGTAGAGATTCGTATAGCAGCATATCCGTCTTCTGCCCGTCTGCTTTTTAATTGCATTTCACAATATGTTCTTGAAAGAGTTACTTATTCCAGGATTTTCCTTCCTTTATTTAGAAGCTGAAACCAGCCAAGTTAACGAAAGAAGAAAACAGGCAGCTGCATAGTGAGAGCCAGAGACTTGTTAGAGGTATATAAAAGCAGAGACTCCGTAATGCTTCTAAGAGATTCCAGGGACAATTTTCATATAGCACTGTAATTATGCACATCCCCCCCCCAAAAAAGTGTTCTATTGTCAAATAATTTGTGTAATTTACCTAAGAAAACAGGATGCGTGGGACAGCGCTGGCTCTTTGGCTTTGAAACGGGGATGAGCACCGGCCCCTAGAGTCAGGAATGACTAGCACATATGTGCAAGGGGAACCTTTACTTAAGAAAATTCTTAGAACAAGGTTATAAATCAAGGCCTACCTGTAATCTACTGAGCACTCTGGTTTATGCTGAAAATCAGCTTCGTAATTTTTGGTACTCTTGCATTTTTGTTAAAATAAGTTACAATACGGTAGCAATGCAATTAATGGTTTGCTTGGGTTGATTTTCTTCTAATTTATTTATTTTTTTATGGTAGAAGCCGCAATGACACTACCTTATCACCTGCCAGAGGCCAAAAGCGTGCAGGAATTCTTCAAGCACAAACCTCGGCCTTCTTTCCAAGGAAGTGCAATGACTTTGCTGAAGTAAGTCCATTTTCCTTCTCCCCCCGCCCCCAATATTCTTTTAACTTCTCAACGTTCTTTGCTGACACTGTTGGAACAGCGTAAGCTGCAGTTGGATGCACGATCCAGCTTCTAAAAGAAATATATATATATTTCTACATTTTGTGGATATGAAAATATGCTTGCTGCAATTTCAAAAATTGAAGCGATGTCTCTGAAAAAGATTATAAATGTCAAGAATTGAGTTTTGTTGTCTGTCCTGGCTTTTTGTCTTAACAAAAACATCCCAAGAATGCTATGTAAAATAAGCCAATATGCAGAGTTTTTAATTTGAGAACCTTTCTCAATACTCTTTGTTTTCCTTGGATAAAACTGGATAAGCTTGAAGAATTCTTTTAATTCAGAGTCCACAGTTTTGCCCTTGTCCCTTTTAGATAATATGCTATATAGCGCTGTGATAATACTTTCTTGATTTTTATACCTTGTTGGATTTTCATATTTTACTGGGGCTTGACTGTTTCTTAATTCAAAAGATTGTTACTCAAACTATAGTGTGTACATAAGTACAGAATAACTGTTACCCCAATTAGCCCCAATTGATATGAAAATCTTCCCGTTTAGCGTATTCTTATATTTATACCTGTTACTTAATCTGAGCTTGAAGGTTTTACTACTTTGGCATGTAGAAGTGAACTGATTGACATTTTCTTTGTTCTGGAATTTTGTGCACAAGTTGGTAGTTTCTGTTGCAGCTTCATAAATCATAAAGTGTAATTATGTCAGAAATATTATATAAATATAATAAGGTTTGATTGGATTTGGAGGCTGCTTGATGCCAGATCGCTTCCAGAGCAGGTTACAATTTAAAACAATAAAGCAAAAAAAGGAACTAGAGCATCTCAGTAACAATATCGCACAAGATAAAATACAAATTTTACCCCATGTGAAACTTAGGAGAGCAACTATATTTTAAAAGATCTCTGGAACATCATTAGGATGCGAACCATATGAGTGTTTGGGGTAGGGGGTGGATGTAACTGCAGAAGGCATAACCTCTGCCTGATCTTTCCAGACGGATATAATCCAGGAGAGATAACAATTCCTCAAAAATGCTCCATGTGGCATGAAGGTCTTTATAGATGACTATCGGATAACCCGACATTGCCCAGGTATTTATTTATAGAGGGAAAATGTCCAGACCAAACATAATTTCTAATTTTGGATTTCCCCCCTTACCAGAGGGAACCCCCTTGTGGAGTACTGTGAAGACTATACCAGGGCAACTCCACTGCACTGCACAGTAGAAGCCATTTTACGACAGTAAAGCAGAACCCATTTTAAGGCACAACAGGCTGTATCTTAACAGAACACATACCTGAGGGCTGTTAGGGGTGTCTTACCCCCACAGTATTTGTTTCCAGAGAGTAAGTCATCTGTGTACCATGTTTGGTTGAAATTGCTCGAGGCACTCCAGAATTCTGCTATACACACACACACACACACGCACACACACACACCCAGAGAGAGAGAGAGAGAGAGAGAGAGAGCACCTTGATTTGAACCAGGGCAGGTAATGGAGCATTGGAGTTAATCCTTCTAGTTTTAGTTCTGTCACCCTTTATTAAAAGGCTTTTTTCTAATTTCTAATCATGCCACCCACCTAAGAAAAGAAAAGAGAGAGAAAAGAAAAAAGAAATACCTTTAGCTTGATTGTCTCACGTTTTGAATTCGAATAGAATAACAGAGTTGGAAGGGACCTTGGAGGTCTTCTAGTCCAACCCCCTGCCTAGACAGGAAACCCTGTATCATTTCAGACAAATGGTTATCCAACATCTTCTTAAAATCTTCCAGTGTTGGGGCATTCACAACTTCTGCAGGCAACTTTTGTTCCACTGATTAATTCTTCTGTCAGGAAATTCCTCCTCAGTTCTAGGTTGCTCCTCTCCTTGATTAGTTTCCACCCATTGCTTCTTGTTCTACTCCCAGGTGCTTTTGAGAATAGTTTGACTCCCTCTTCTTTGTGGCAACCCCTGATGTATTGGAACACTGCTATCATGTCTCCTCTAGTCTTTCTTTTCATTAAACTAGACATATCCAGTTCCTGCAACCGTTCTTCATATGTTTTAGTCTTCAGTCCCCATTTTTGTTGCTCTTCTCTGCACTCTTTCCAGAGTCTCCACATCTTTTCTACATCGTGGAGACAAAAACTGGATGCAAATATTCCAAGTGTAGCCT